GTATACAAAGTCTACCAGTGTGTTTCATCCATTGGTCACAGAGGTCGACGCAACTAGTACTGGGTAGAATGATAGATGTTTAGTAAATAAAAATAGAGAGTCTATTTCAAAAACGAGTATCTACTATTATAACATTTGAAATAACAAAAATGCTAGATAAAAAAATAAAGCTTCCTTGTTGCTGTAGCATACCTACGAACAATAATGGGTATGTCCCTATTCACATATATACAATAGTAAGTACTGTATGTTGGTCTACAGTTGGAGATTCGTCTCTCCGGGCAGAGAGCATCCGTCGGACGAGGCTATGTCGAAGGGCAGATTCTCGTCTCGTGAAACTGCTAACCGACTCCGTTTTATACGAGATCCAGGGGGAATTCTTGGGCGAGCCCACGGGCACGGATACCGCACATTAAATTCGGCCTTGTGTCACATCTGACCGCGCGGGGTGGTTGGTAGATATCCTGCAGTTGGAGATTCGTCTCCAGCTGTGCGGGTCAAACTCTCTGCCTCCGGGCAGAGAAGATCCCCAGACGAGGTTATAAGTCGAAGGGCAGAGTCTCGTCTCGTGAAACAGCTACCCGACCCCGTTTTATACGAGATCCAGGGGGAATTCTTGGGCGAGCCAACGGGCACGAATACCCCACATTAAATTCGGCCTTGTGTTACATTTGAACGCGTGCGGTGGTTAGTAGATATCCTGCTGTTGGAGAGTCATTGTGAAATCCATTTGACTCACTTCTAGTAATTGACTACTACTTCTACGCGCCACCGGCGAATCTTATATGTGTTGTTCTTGTCCTAAGTATTATCGTTCATTACCAACCTTCATGTAATTATTCTATTCAGTAACCTTCCCTAGGTTACAACACATGAAAAAAAAAAGAAAAAAGTTTGTTGATCATGTTATTTATTTTTTTTTTGTTTTTAATTGGTATCACCCCAAGCAAGGCAATAAAGCCACTAAGACATAGGTTACAGGGTTTGGAAGAATTAGCAACAGAAACATTAATAATGAGCAGAAAGATAAAAGAGTAATCAGGAGGACAGTAGATAGCAACTGATATTGCATTTTAAATTTTTGCATATTAAAGTTGGCTGGAAAACATGGATCCGGAAGCGATCCCACAAGGCATATTATAATGGAAATCAGTACAATTCTCACCCTCCATAGAAATTTAAATATTTGAATAGAATTAGCTTGACTGGTGTTGTTGTACAACGCACAGTGTTTTTCTCTTCTATGAGTGTTTTCGGGAGTACAACGATCCGAAACTCTAACGTTGTTCTGAGTGTGGACGCTTACATTTGTTAAAATTTGTCTGATGTTTTTTATTTCTTTTGAAAGAAACTATAGGCGGGTTGGGAAAAATCTCTTTAAAACGCGGATATTTTTGCACAATGTGTTCATAACAATCGTGTAGTATTTTCGAAATTCCAGCAAAGTTTCAGTGCCATTTGATGTAATAATAATAATAATAATAATAATAATAATAATAATAATCCCGATAAACTGACTCAGAAAGGAGAGAGAACTGGCTTACGAAGTGTGATTTGAAACCAGAAACTGAAATACTGATTTGTGCAACTCAAGAACAAGCAATAAAACAAACCACATTAAGTGCAAAATGGACCTTAAAACTGACAATGATAAGTGCAGGACTTGCGCTTAAAATGTATGAATAGTGTTTCATTCAGTGACATGTTATCAGCGAATGAACAAAGTTGTCACAGATGCAATACAGAAGTAGACATGATTATGTTGTAACAATGATACATTGGGAATTAAGCGGCAAGTATGAATTGGGAAGAGCAGAAACGTGGGATGTTCAGACTCTCGACGGTAACATTGAAAATAACAAATACTATATTCTCCGGAATTACATGAGTGCCATATAGGAAGAAAATGTGTAACTACCGACACCGAGGTTCGAGCGTGACACTCTGGACTTATGAATATATATTTTCCGCCAGGTGTATAAGTAGCGGTGTCAGGCTACTGATTGTAGTGATTATTGAGTGACTATTGAATGGAAATATCCAGTCGAATTAGTGTGAATTATTTATACCCCTTTATCATATATTGTCGTATAGGAAGAAAATTACTAACTACCGAAACCGGGGTTCAAGCGTTATACTCTGGACTTTTGAATACATGTTTTCCGCCTGGTGTATAAATAGCGGTGTCAGGCTACTGACTACAGTGATTATTGAGTGACTATTGAGTGGAACTATCCAGTCGAATTAGTGTGAATTATTGTGCGTCGATAATTTGAGTTTTTATTTAGGATTTACCGGATGTCAGATCCACTGACCTGTCGCTCGAAGACAATTCTGAGAATAAAATGAAGCAATTAATTGTTTTGAAAGGATGCAAAGAGCCATTGAAATTGTAACGAAAATATTTTTTAATTAAAATGTTAATGATAGGGAAGGATGTTTTTCGGAGTTACTTTCTCCTTTGGCGTCTGCTTTCCATGGGAAGAAAATAACTGTACTCTTTTGACTCTTGTAGTCACAAGGAAGTTCCTTTCTTTCATCGTCTTAATCTCCACTATTCTCACCTCCCCCCTACTCTTAGGAGGCCTTGACCGTTGTTGTAGAAAAATCACTTTTCGAGTCGAGCCATCACTTTAACACCTCAACAATTCTTCAAGAAACTGATATTATCAAACACTATTGTTTCACTCTGTCACCCTTTTGCCTCTCCTATTTTTTCGTTATCCGTGTACATCCCCTCTTAAGATGTACTTTTTTTCAAACAAATAGAAAAATGGAAGTGATGTTCCACGTGCGGTCTGCTTACAAACAAAATTGTTCATAACCATTTTGGTTCTCACCAGTCGAAGTGCAACTAAATGTACCGAAACGAAGTCGCATCTTTGTCGTGAGTAAATTGTTTTTGTCTATATGAAAAAAAAATATAATAGATAGATAGATAGATAGATAGATAGATAGATAGATAGATGAACAGATTGAGATAGATCTGAAGATTTAGATAGATAGATAGATAGATAGATAGATTGATAGATAGATAGATAGATGTGAACAGATTGAGGTAGATCTGAAGATTTAGATAGATAGATAGATAGATAGATTGAGATAGATCTGAAGATTTAGATAGATAGATAGATAGACAGATGTGTAGTTCGATACCTGATTCCATTTTTGTTGAAATTTGACTAATGCATGGAATAATAATGCAACACAAAATGTACTTAGAACAAAATGGGGAAGATCGAAAGTACTTGGGTAGAAAAAGCGGCCGATCACATGATGATTGCGTGAAAATACATGAAACTGTTTGGTATGGTCGGTCACTGTTCACTGGAAATTTAATTAATATATTATATTATTAATTAATAAATATATTACTAATATAATTAATATTATTAATATATATGTATGTATGTATGGATGTGTGTTAAAGTTCTCAGAATAAATCTGTAGAGAATACAAATTGAATAAAATTAACTTGAAAGAAAAATGTATAGTCCAAGTTTTCGACTTAAGTTATTCTCAGGGTAGATAGACACATGCGCACACACACAACCGCGCGCACACACACGCACATATGGCGTTTATATATCACGTATATAATGCCTTAAAATTCACTGCTGATAGCCTAGGGGTAAGAGTATTTGACTGATCTTAAATCAGTCAGCTTGAAGCAATCAGATGTCTAGCTACACTGACAAGGTGTGATAAAGCGAAACACTCTGTGGATGATTATATATATATATTCGCTTGACGATAAAATGGAACTAATGTCTTTAATTTAATTACAAAATTAAATTCGAAGCTTTTAGCTTCCATTTTTGAAACATGGCTAGAACTGTGTAGCGAAAAAAACATATTTTAAATCAGTTAATTTATAATATTAATGCTCTGTAAATTTACATTGAGCACTATTTTGTAAAAATAAAAATATAAGAACACCGGATTATATATCTTACTGTTCTTTCTTTCTTTATATATATATATATATATATATATATATATATATATATATATATATATATATATATATATATACGTGTTAGTAGGATGTAAATAGTATCCAGAAACAAAAGTGGAGGTAATGAGACAAAAATGGAGAAGCTTTTTAACGACAACGCGTTTCAACAGCTTGTGTTATATTTGGCGTCTTCCAGTCGAAATGAAGGACAGAACAGTGAAAGCTACAAAGGAGAGGTAGTTGTGGAGAGCCATGACCACCCACGGCCTTAAGGGATATAGTTACAGAAAGAGAAGAATCTCGCAATAAAGAATTGATCTTGGCGTATGAATGCATAAAAAATGCAAGCAAATTGTAGTTAAATAATATTATGATATTTTCGAAAATTTAGGCTTGTAAGCTAAGGAACATTTTCGAGAATTTATACAAATCAGTGGGAGACACAATTACGAATAAAAATAAAATTGATGCAGGGAAAAAACACACAAAAAAAGAAAACAAGAAACGAAGAAATAAAATATATATATATATATATATATAAATAAAAAAGAAGTTCATGTTATCTGTCGTAACACACAGTAACAATCCCAGAATTCTCGCTAACGAAAAGGAATTGAAAGACAAACATGATTAAAACCAGTCTCTTCGTAGCGAAAGAAACATTTTCCGTAAGTCCCTTCCAGCGAACAGGCAAGGACAAAGTCGAAGACAAGCGTGAAATTTGCAAGAGGAAATAAATCAAGTGAAAACAGGAGAAAATAAAATTTGAAAATAAAACTGACAGCGAAATAAATGAAGTGAACAGCACAATTGATTTACAGTCTCTTCCCCGCTCCCAGAAGATGGCGCAGGATATTCGCATTAGGTGCTTCTTCGAAATTCACTTACTTGAAAGATTTTAGAGAGAGTTCGCTTTTAATTTTAAATTTATTTATTTGTTATATTTTACTTTTTCGTTTCTTTCCCCCTTTCCTGTCTTTCATCATTTCTCTTTTCCTTTCCTTTCTTTCGCTTTTTTTCAATTTCCTTTCTTTCATCATTTATGTTTTCCTTTCCTTCTTTTCCCCTTTTCCTCTTTCCTTTCGTTTATCATTTCTCTTTTCCTCTCTTTTCTTTCAATTTTTCCCCTTTCCTTTCTTTCCATTTTTCCCTTTCCTTTCTTTCATCATTTCTCTTTTCCTTTCCTTTCCTTTCTTTCTCTTTTCCCTTTTTTCTTTTCATTTCTTTTCCTATTTCTTTTTTCTCTTTCCCTTTTTTTTTCTTTCGATATTTCCTTTTCCTTTCTTTTATTTCCTTTTCCCCCACTTTCTTTCATCATTTCTCTTTTCCTTTCTTTCCTTTTTTTCCTTTTCTTTTCTTTCATCATTTCTCTTTTCCATTCTTTTCTTTCTCTTTTCCCCCCTTTCTTTCCTTTCATCATTTTTCTTTTCCTTTCCTTTCTTTCCCTTTTCCCCCTTTTCTTTTCTTTCATCATTTCTCTTTTCCATTCTTTTCTTTCTCTTTCCCCCTCTTTCTTTTCTTTCATCATTTTTCTTTTCCTTTCCTTTCTTTCCCTTTTCCCCCTTTTCTTTTCTTTCATCATTTCTCTTTTCCATTCTTTTCTTTCTCTTTCCCTCTTTCTTTTCTTTCATCATTTTTCTTTTCCTTTCCTTTCTTTCCCTTTTCCCCCTTTTCTTTTCTTTCATCATTTCTCTTTTCCATTCTTTTCTTTCTCTTTTCCCCCCTTTCTTTTCTTTCATCATTTCTCTTTTCTTTTCCTTTCTTTCCCTTTTTTCCCCTTTTCTTTGTTAGTACATTTCTCTTTTCCTTTCTTTCCCCTTTCCTTTCTTTCATCATTTCTCTTTTCCTTTCCTTTCTTTTCCTCTCTTTCCCCTTTGTTTTCTTTCATCATTTGTCTTTTCCGTTACTTTGTTCATCTTTCTTTCCGTTTTCCTTTCATCATTTCTCTTTTTCTTTCCTTTCGTTTCCTTTCTTTTATTCCTTTTCCTTCCTTTCTTTGCCTTTCTTTATCCTTTCCTTTCTTTCATCATTTTCTTTTTTCTTTTTTCATACTTTTTTATTTCTTCTTTCTTTCTTCCTCCCTTCCTTTCTTAATCATATTTTTATCTACATTCTCTAGTATTCTTTTTGTGTTTTTTTTTATTTGATTTCTTTTCTTTTTCTTTTTTCTATTTTTTCGCTTTCTTTCTCTTTTTTCCAAGTTTTTATTATTTTTATATTTTTCCATCATGTTTTGTATATCTCTTCGTTTAGCCTTACTTTCTCAATTTAAAAAAAAAAATCCTTTAATCTTTCCTTTTGCTTTCTTTTCTCTTATTTTCTTTTCTTTTCTTTTTTGAATGATTTATGTCCTTTTATATTTGGTATTTTCATTTTTTATTTGCAATTCTTTCTTTCTTTTTTCTTTCTTTTGATGTAATGCTTTCTCATTCTTACTTTTTTTTCCTTAGCTTTCTTTCATTTTTTAGTCATCTATTTTATCTTTCTTTCTTATTTGTATTTTCTTTCCTTCTTTCTTTCTTTCTTTCTTTCTTTCTTTTATCTCATGTTTATCTGCATCTCCTCCCTCAACCCTGCTTCTTTCTTTTCTTTCCCTTCTTTCTTTCTTTCTTTCTTTCTTTCTTTCTTTCTTTTATCCCATGTTTATTTGCATCTCCTCCCTCAACTCTGCTTCTTTCTTTCTTTCTTTCTTTCTTTCTTTCTTTCTTTCTTTCTTTTATCCCATGTTTATCTGCATCTCCTCCCTCAACCCTGCTTCTTTCTTTCTTTCTTTCTTTCTTTCTTTTAAAGTAATTCTTTCTTATTTTTACTTCTTTCTTTTCTTACTTAGCTACTTTCTGTCTTTATTTATTTCTGTCTTTCTTCCTTATTTGTATTTTCTTTCTTTCTCTCTTTCTTTCTTTTTTGGTAATTCTTTCTTATTTTGAAATTTTGATGTAATTCTTTGTTATTCTTACTTCTTTCTTTTCCTACTTAGCTACTTCCTTTCTTTCTTTATTGATTAATTTATGTCTTTCTTTCTTATTTGTATTTTCTTTCTTTCTTTTCTTTCCTTATTGATTAATTTTTAGTTTTCTTTCTTATTTGTATTTTCTTTTCTTTCTTTCTTTTTTCTTTCTTTATTGATTAATCTTTAGCTTTCTTTCTTATTTCTATTTTTTCTTCCTTTCTTTTTCTTTCTTTATTGATTAATTTATGTCTTTCTTTCTTATTTGTATTTTCTTTTCTTTCTTTCTTTTTTCTTTCTTTATTGATTAACTTCTGTCTTTCTGTCTTGTTTGTATTTACGTTTTTATCATTTTTCTTTCGTTCTTATTTTTACTTTTTTTTACTTAGCTACTTTCTTTTCTTATTTAGGTTTTCTATCTTTCTTTCTTTCACCTCCGGCTGACCTGCTTATAATGATCTTTTCCTCTTGTTATTTCGTTTAAATCACCTTTTTTTAATTTAATATTTCAACAAGAGCATCTTTGATCTCGCAAAAGTTTTCAACGTATTTTTTTTTCCTTCTCCTTTGCTGCCTTCACTTTCTTTGTCCCGTTCTGAGACTCTTTCATCTCGCTTTCTTTCGTCCGCCATCTTTTTTTGTCTTTCCTCCATTTTCTCTCCTAGGTCTTCAGTTCCCTTTTTATCGACTTGTTTAATTCACAATTTCAACACGCCTATCAAACTTCAATGGCGACTGGAAACATGTTGCTTGTCTCTCTCTGCTCCCTAATGATCTTATCAATCTCAGCCTTCGTTTTTTATTCGAGTTTCACAGAACCACGTGATCATCACCTACCATCACGCAGCTAAATCATTGCTTGACTCCAAACTGGACCGATAACCCAATATGACGCATGGTTCAGAATTAATACCAAGTAAAGGTCGGCAAGTGATCGGTCAAAAGTGGGGGTAATATGAAGACATAAAAATAAAATCAAGGGGACTCGTGGTCGTTACTTATCTCAAAGAGTAATGAAAACTTGTCCAGATACTGGAAATAGCTGTTTGTCATTTACATAAGAACATGCACCCACAAAAAAAAAACATTGTCTTTCTTCAACATTAGTTAAGTTTGTAAGAAAATATCTATCTATCTATCTATCTATCTATCTATCTATCTATCTATCTATCTATCTCTATTTCTATCTATCTATCTATCTATCTGGGTATGTGTATAGAGAGATAGAAATATAGATATTAACAAACTGAGATAAATATTAATAGACTGATATCTATCTATCTATCTATATATATATATATATATGTGTGTGTGTGTGTGTGTGTGTGTGTGTGTGTGTGTGTAAAAATATATAGAAAATAGGAAATAACTCGTTAGGTAAATAATCCAAAGTTCTTTAGTATTTTAGTTATTATTTTTAAAAAATAGTGCTCGATACAAAAGTAGAGCATAAATATAATTATTTATTTAAAAATATGATTCCAACACATCATGGGATCATATTTTTAAATAAATAATTATGGAATCATATTTTTAAATAAATAATTATGTATTTATATATATATATATATATATATATATATATATATATATATATATGTAGAGATAGATAATAGATAGATAGATAGATAGATAGATATCAGTCTATTCACATCTATCTCATTCATATCTATCTATCCTTATATGTGTGTATGTGTGTGTGTTGAAGACGACTGACAATGTACTGCGATTAAGTTTCGTGTTTTCTTTTCTGAACACAAAGTGTGTAAAAACTGCCCCAAAGTTTTGCATATCTGACCCCTTACCGCTGTTCTTTTAGCCATTATCAAGGGCGATTTTTTTTATTACTTTTAAATAATCTGTGGTTTTTTTATCCATGTTTCTATAGTTACAGCAATGTTTTATTTTCCGAACATAGTCAGCATGTTTGCTGTATTTGTAGTTAATATATCAATCTATTCATATCAATCTCAGTTTATTCATCTCTCTCTCTCTCTGTCTCTCTCTCTCTCTATATATATATATATATATATATATATATATATATATATATATAAATTCCTAAGAGGATAGAACCCAGGCAGAACTCAATGTCCAGGACAGAGTAAGAATATAATATAAAGGTTTTAAATATTTATTATTCCATGGTTATAATTTATTACAATGAATCGTAATCACGATCGAAATCATCAGACCTACAAATTCAATTCTTTTTAATCTGTAGGTCTGATGAATTGGATCGTGATTACGATTCCAATGTAATAAATTATAACCATGGAATATTAATATATATATATATATATATATAGCCCTCTGTTCCAGTCTATTTTCTTGTCTTTTCAATTCTTTTTACAACGTTCTTTCATATGTCTCTTTACTTTACTTTTTGCTTCCTGTTTTTCATTCCTCTTTTTTCTTTTTACATTTTTTTAAAATATTCATCGTTTTCTCTTTTTTGTTTGTTTATTTTAATTTTTTATTTGCTTTTATTTCTTCTTCCTTTCTATCTCCTCTGTTGTTCCTCATCATGCTCTTTCTTTCTTTCTTTCTTTCTTTCTTTCTTTCTTTTATCCTTCTCTATTTTCTTCTGCTTTCTTCGATTATCCTCTTCTTTCTTTTCCTTTTTTTTCTTCTTCTATTCACGCGTTTCTTTCTCTCCTATTGCACCCCCCTCACACACGCACACACTTCCCGCGATTATTTCTTACTCGTCGATATTGTACACCAAACAACCGAAGCACAATAG